CAATTCCTGGTTGACTTTGGGAGGTCTCATAAACTGGGCATAACAGTAAGCAAACACATAAAAAGAAGAGATTAAAAAGATGTCCATATTGGGTGCTGGAGAGATGGCTCAGGTTGAGAGTAATGTCTTGAGTTCAATTCCCAGCAACCACATGGTGGCTCATAACCAACTATAATGAAATCTGGTGCCCTCTTCTGGCCTGCAGGCATACATGCAGGCAGAACACTGTATGCATAATAAAAAAGATGACCATGCTGTGTGAAGGCAGAAACAAAACAAAGTGCACATGAAGAAGCACATGCTTGGGAACCTCTGATCTTGTAATCAAAGCAAAAAACAAACAACCCAAAAAACTTAATAGATGATAGAATAATAAAAATGATATGAAAGAACAGGAGTGGGAGAATACTGGGAATTAGGGGTTTAAGCAGGGATGGGGTGAGAAGTGGGGGGGTTGAGAAAAGAGAGGTAGAGGGCAGAGTAACCAAAAATTTTAAAGGGGCTCGAACAGAAGTAACTCACATTAATGAATAATCCTCCCAGAAGACATGAGAAGAACTCATTACTAGGCTACCTCCTTATAAATTAGGTGAGAAAGGCCCTAGCGGATCCCCCACCGCCCAAACAACACTGACTTTTGTCATTGCTTAGTTGCCTGCCATAGCTACATAGTAAGACCCTATTGCTAAGATACCACATACTTTGGTTGCAGAATACAGAGAAATAAATTTTGAACTGATCAGGGAACCCTCCCTGCTGGCTAGCTTTCACAGTGCTGGAAGGTGCTGTGTAGGCTGCTGGAGAAAAAGCGACATCAATGGCCTTATCCAGTGACAAACCTTGAGTACTACAACAATGACACGCCAGCAAGATGTGCCCACTGGTGCAATGGTGCTTATGGGGAAACCCACTCCTCGTTCACAGGAGGACATTGATGCCTGGTACTAGAAACATGGTCAGAACTCAAGACTGTAGTCATAGGCCCCAGGGGAGGACTTGTTAATGTTGTTTCTCTCTCTCTCTCTCTTAGCTCTGGCCGTCCTAGAATTCACTGTTAGCCAGGCTGGCCTCAAACTCCCAGAGATCTGGCTGCCTCCAGACTGCTGGGATTAAAGACGTGTGCTTAATGCTGCTTTTCTAAGTGATAGTGCTGTCAAACTACCTTCTAGGGATGTACGCTTATGTCCGTAGATTCATGCTGCTGCTTCTAACGCTGGTCAGAGAAGCTTTTGCCGAAGTGGGTGGTGACTAATGCAGAGACACATTACTGTGTAAAGGGCTGAGGAAGGGCTGTGAGTGCCCAGCTGCAGGTGGGGCATCTATATCCCGCCCCCTTCCCTACCCCAAGGCTCAGAGAACATGGGAGGAGAGAAGGAAGAATGAATGTAAGAGCTGGAGGACTGGAGGAGTGCTGGGACATGCTTTTCTCTGGACCTGACATGGCTGTTGTGCATGGGAATTCACCTCGGTATTAGTCCACACTTCGGCATGCAGGGAGAAGGGCCTTCTGAGGCTCCATTCTTATTGGCAGTTGAAGAAGGGAAAGTAATTTTTCTTTAGGAACAGGAAGTCATCTGTGCCACCGTGGATGACTTCATGCCCGAGAGCATATGGCTGGTGTTGACTGGACTCAGTGGGTTAAAATAATTATAAAAGGGATGTCATAAAATTGGGAGAGAAATGTGATAGGCATGTCCTGCGTGAAACTGGAGGTGCGGAATGAGAGGTAGATAAGACCAAGATATGTTGTAGACATGTGTGAGAATTTCTGAGAATAAACAAAAAATAGTTAAGAAAAAAGAAATCAGGGACTGCAGACTTAGTGGTTAAGAATGCTGGATGTTCTTCCAGAGAACCAGGGTTTAATTCCCAGCACCCACATGGTAGCTCACAGCCATCTGTAATCCCAGTGTCAGGGGGATTTAATGTCCTCTTCTGGCCTCCCGGGGCACCACATGCATATGGTACACAGACAAAGCCACATTCATATAAAATTAGATTCAAAAAATAAAAACAAGGAAAGAAAAAAAGTGGATGCAGATCTTGAGAGTGAGTGTGGCCATGTTGAATCCTCGCACAGCCCGGGGGGACAAGGAGGTGTTTTGAGTTGGGCTATACTTCTGGGGTCAGTTTTTCAGAGGATCTGAAAGGCCAGGTAGAGAGTTGTGAAAGATCAGTGAGAGGTCCCCTCAACCTCAAGTAAGCAAGGGCAACAAGAGAGAAAGAACAGAAGCAAATTTGAAAAAAAAAAAAAAAAGAAATCACAAAAATAGAGTTGGTAAGTGTATGTTGGTTGAGGGTGGTAGGTAGAAGAGATACAGGTTTAAAAAAAAATCCAAGATTTAGTAATAGAGAGGGCACCAGTAAGAGAGTCTTGCTGTTTAGAATTCAGAGAAGAAAGAGGAGCACAGCTGGATATCTGTTGAGGTTCACAACTAAACTTAGAACAATTCAGCTGGAGTCACACAGACATGAACTCAAATCCTGCTATGGCCTCATCCTAGCTGTAGGACTCTAACAGCTAACCTAGGTCTGAGGACCTAGGTACTAATAGCAACTTGGAGTTGTCAGGATGAAATGAGTTAATGTGTATCAAAGCTTAGTTCAACATGGTGAGATCCCAGTAAATGGCCTATCTTCTTTGGAGGTCGCTTCTTGAAGGTGTGGAATATAGAGGGATATCATTATTTGGGGAAAGAGAGAGAGAGAGAATAGGTTGGAGGAAAGGAAGTCTTCCTTGACTCATAGAAGAAAATTGGAGGCTCTTGACAGGTACCTGAGGTCATGAGCCCTAAGGCAACTCTCTCTTCCTCAGTGGCTTTCAGTGTTAGGAACATGAAGGTCCTTGAACCTACAGATCACTGAGAAACCAGGAATGTTAAGTGTGCATGATTGTCTTTTAAGTGAAAAAGATGTAAAACTTGTTCTTTAATCCGGAAAGCTAGGAATTGGAGGTAATTGATAGCCTAGTAAGCTGTGATATCTGTTAGGCCAGGCCATATCAAGCTTCCACAACTAGTACCAGATATGGCTAGTAATCTAAATGGCCCTTACATTACCTGTAAAGTCAGGGGCTCCCCCAAGCTCCCACAACCAGGACCAGAGGTGGCTAATAGCCCAAAGGACCTCTGGGCTATCTGTATGACCTAAACCATGGCAAATCCTTCCCTGGGCCCTTAATCCAGTACAAGTAGCCTACCTCCAGAATCCATCTTCCTGGAAGAAACGACATATGTCCTGAGTTGAGTTTCGATGTAATTATGCTTCTTTGTGTGCTGGGGATTGTGTTACACCAGGAAACTTTTTTTTTTCCCAAATTATATTGTGTTTAAATATGCTGGAAATAAACCACCTGGTGTCAGACTCTCTAAGTTTGATCTTATTTGGTGAAGTCAAACTGAACCAAGTACTCATACTCACCATCTTGTGGTTTGTTGCCTTGACTGTTGTGACACACCTTAAGGACCCCCTCAGTTCAGGATATTTTGTGGCAAACTGAAAACTCAGGTGGGGAAGAGAGAGTGAGGTGAAGAGGACAAAAAGAGGAATGAGGAACAGAGGGGCCCAGTACAAGGGCTGTGAGTTCAGGATCTCTTTCAAGTCATGTGGCATGGGTGGGACACAGAGAACAAAGCCAAAATTGCAGAAATCCACTCCAGCAACTCAGAAGAAAATTTAGATAATAGAATTTACTTTCCTCTCCTTAAAAAAAAAAAAAAAAAAAAAATTTACTGTAGTGTGTGTGTGTCTGTGTGTCTGTGGAGGCCAGAAGGAGGCATCAGAGTCCCTGAAATGGCAGGAAGCCATCTTCCTAGTCCCTATTTGCTTTTAAAAAAACTCTGTAAGGAACAAATATAATCATATGGTTTCTAAGTTTGCTTTTCTGCTTCATTCCTTCTTCCCTCCCTCCCCAGAAATGCACCAGTGCTTGCCTCTCTTGTCCATTCCCTTTCTCTCTTTCCTCTTCTTGCCAAAACCAACCAATCCAACTAACCAACCCACCAACCAGACTAAAGCAGGCTAAAAAGGTAATTTTAGAGAATAAACAGAGAGAGGCTAGCTACTCAGTCGATAGAGGTTGACACAGGATAACACAGGACTCTGAAAACAGTGTAGAACAAGGTATTTTAGAACTGTCTGGGACAAACATGGCCACCAACTGAGGTGACTTAGCTTTGCTTTGCTATGATGATGTCTCCATATCATTAACCCAAATCTCTAGCTCCTGTCATGCATCTGATGTTATAACATATCCCAAAGCCTATATAGGGAAAGAAAAGGAAAACAAACAATTTGGGACAAATCCTGTCTCCCAATTTTGACTCAATAATATTGCCCCTCTCTTTTGGAGTCTCCTACAAGATGTTATCTCAGAGCTCAGGCAGCGTGACTCTCTTGAAAAGAACGCATTCTTTTACCTCCTATTATTGTGAATTAATTATATAATATAATGGGTACCGAACTCTCTCTTATTGTGTACTTTTGCCCTGAAATAAAACTTCCACTCTATTCCTCCCTTTGTCTCTTTTTAATTCTTTCTCTGAAGGTAACAAGAACCTCGAACCATCGGGTAGAGATCTCAACCTGTTCTGTGGCCCTCTCAGACCTCTTCAACCTTCACCAGCAACAAAAACATCTGTAGAATTTCCTACCAACCCATCAACCTACTCTGTGTCTTTTTCTACTCTCTCTCTTTTCCTTCCAATTGAGGAATCACAAAAGTGCTGAAGAACAAAGGGAAAGCAATCCAGGATTCTGGGGGATGAGGGTGGGTTGGCTGGAAGAGAGGAAAGCCTAAGAAACCTTATAGGGCAATTATTTTCTGTCACAATATATTTTTCCTCACATGCAAAACTTATTTTAAAAGGAAAAAAATGAGGAAAGAAACTGTACCAATGACAAGTTCCCTTGGAAGTGACCCTGATATCTCAAGTGAGTATGTTCTGCACCCGGATAGGGCCACCCGTCTCCTAAATGTGGATGGGGACTCCCAGCCCTACCTGTCTATGCTGATGGCACAGAGGTTCAGGATGCTGGCGGTACACATCATGACATCCAGGGTGACAAAAACATCACAGCAAATGCGGCTGAAATTCCAGACTCCACCTGTCACCTGGGCATTAGAGACAAGAAGGTGTTAGTATTTTCCCCAGGGAAGGAACAATAACCCAATCAACCCTCTTGCCTTCCCTAAGCTGCTCATGGTAGATGCCAGCGTACCTTCCTGGCTCCCCGTGGTGCGTGCCATCAGTACAGAGGGCTGACAGGCACAGAGGGCGCGCCAGGCTGCCTGGGATTGATTGCTAAGGAAGGGACAGAATGGTAGAGTGTTAGTGCTGGGAGAAATCTTCCAGATTAATTAGTGCAGGGATTCTCAGAGTGGTTCACAGTGGGATATTTGTTAAAAACGTAAATTTCTGAACACCCCATAGACCTAGTGACTCCGGGTCCCACGATCTGAGCTCATGACCATCCATCTTAAAATAAATACCCCCAGTTGTACTAAGTTTTGGCAATCAAACTTGAGGCTCAATCTCACGGGTGCTCCTTGTAGCTAAGTGCTATGTACATAGATACATCTTAACTTGTAGATGCTCGGCTGCTGGTAAAAGACCTTGGGTAACTGCCCAATGTGTGCCGTGTGCCAAAACTGCTTCTCTGAAGCCCTCTGCCCAGTAGAGAGCTCACCATGTGCTCAGGAAATAAGCTAAGAACACATTTTACATAAAACATGACTCCAAGGCAAACATCTCTGTGACTTCAGGTTGTAAAGCTTGGAAACATCATAAAATAACATCTGTGAGAACAACAAGATTAATCAGTATGACTGCCTTTGACCCCCAACCCTGCATCCCAACTTAAAAAAGGTGGGAGGAGACTGGGTCCAGAGGAGCAGAGGGAAGTAGGGTTGGCTCTCAGCTAGGTGAGGCTAGCTCTCACCTGCTTGCCTGTGCATGTGGGACCAACCTCAATAGCCTTCCGAGAGTAACACTGAAAACGTCAGTGATTCAGGCAAATCATTTTATAAGGAAGCATATTTCTATTTTATCTTTACATATTTACATAAGCTAGTTAAATAATCAAGATGTACACTGCTACTTATAGGCTCTGAGGCTTGTGGGCTGCCATTCTGAGGGATCATGGCTCTTGGTGAGAGTTTGTGTCCCTGGCTGTAGATGTGTCTTTGATGTCCCTTCTGAGCAAGCTTGATTCCTATTAAGAGAAGGAAGGGAAACAAATAGGTCCAGCAGATGTTGGCCAGTGTGAGAAAGGAGCTGCTGCCCTCTGCCTGGTCCTCATCTGAGACTCTTTTGATCCTTCCTGTGCCATGCCAGTAAAGAAAGACCTGGAGGGGTCTACCCTTTCTCTTCTACAACTTCTCCTGGAGCATACTTCCCTCTTAGCTTCCCCTTGATCTCTATATTTGGTCATCTTCAGGCTATTTTGAGAAGCACTGACCAAAGATGTTTTGTTTAAAAAGCAACCCATGAAAAGTTAAAACAAGTGAAGTAATCGTATTTGTTCACTTGGTTCTGGATTTACTTTCTTTTAGCTAGAGCATTTGGCTCTATATAAATAAAGGCCTAACATAAATTTACAGGAATGCTGAGAACAAAATCTTCTGAGAAAGGGAGTTTATGGATTTTGATCTATAAAGTTATCACACAATGACTCAAGGGAGACAGGAGAGTGGGAGATGATTGCATGAGACAGTTGCATGGTATGAAAGCTTCTCCCCCAGACTGAATGCGTGTGTTCTTAATTTCATTCAATATACGTCCGTCATGCAACTGGAGTTTTGAGTTGGGGAAAACTGATTTTTTTTCTTTTCATATAACTGAGTGAGTATGTATCTCTGTTGTGGGAAATTTAAAGGAGAAAGAATAGTTAGGGCTGCAGTCAATCTGAGTGCTTTCTTGTCATTCACTCATTCATTCATTCATTCATTCATTCACCAAACAAGCACTTCTGAAGCTCTAATAGTCTACAGGAGGAGGGTATAGTATGTTTGTTAAGATGTTTTACAAAATGTACTACCAGGGTGTATCCTTGGAGACTCGTGTGATAACTGGAGAAAGAAAGCATTATCATCATCATCACCATTATTATTATTATGTGCGTGTATGATTTATATGGGCATGCATGCCATGGCATGGGTATAGAAGTCAGAAGAAGGCTTTGTGAGGTCAGTTATCTGTTTTCATTTTTATGCAGGATCCAGGGATTGAACTCAGGGTGCCAGGCTGATGAGGCAAACACCTCTATCTGATGAGCCTTCTCACCACACCTGTAGAAGGCATTCTTGAACACACTGAGGTCAGTCTGGTTAAAACAAACTAACATTTACTGAAATTTCTCCTACTTGTATCATCTACCCATATCACCCATTCCATGAATTTCTACAACTTTAAAACTTTGAAAACTAGATTTTTGTTATTGTTGTTTTTACTGTATGTACTATTACAGCTTTTTGAGGCATGTGCAATTTGATAGATTAAATGAGTGTTACTTAACCAACTCAATAATGGCAGAGACATTTACTTGTTCCCTGGTGCTCTGGGGCTCCTAGAGCAGGGGTTACGCGTGCAAATACCGCCGTCAAGACTGAGCGGTCTCTGACACACTAAAAGCCACTTATTGAATGCTTCCTAAGTGCCTGGTGTCCTGTGAAGCACTTTGCAAACATGGCCTCTTAGTGCTGATTATAATCCCCTGAGAAGAGATTGGGAAGCCGAAGGTATCTAAAGAAGCCTCGTCTATCTTAAAGATCCCACAAGCTCTCTGGCCTCTACTCTGTTGCCTGGCTTTGGTGGAATAGAAGATTGTGCTTATTGAGGAATGGGATATCACAGGTGGAGGGTTATCTAGGCTTAGTTCCTGTAGAAAAAAAAATACTTTGTTCATTTAAAAAATTATTTATTTTATGAGTCTAAGTATTTGTCTGCATTTATGTATGTGCACTACATGTGTGTAATGCCCATGGAGGCCAGAAGAGGGCATTAGATCCTCTGGAGCTATAGTTACAGGTGGCTGTGAGCCACTGTGTGGGTGCTAGGAACCGAACTTGGGGCCTTTGGAAGAGCAGCCAGTGCCTTTAACTGCTGAGCCACCTCTTTCTCTACACACACATCCTCCCTTTTACTTTAATCTTTGTCTCTGACCTAAAGTTCTCAAGGTTTATTAGATAAACCTCTTGGAATGAATTGCTGAAGTTAGCAGACTTCCAGCATGCACCAATCCTAGAGCTAAAAATGCTAATACTCAATATGATCTTCCTCCTCCCTAGCTCTCCTAGGTTGTGTCCCAACCACAGTTATTTCTCCAATGCATCATATTTTTACTTTCTCTCTTCTCTTTCTATAAAAGTTCATGTCACTCTTTCCATGACATCCATTGAATCCAAGTTCTGAAGACAAAGTCACTCATAGTTGGCTCAGAATAAAGGACTTTTATTATTTTCTTTAAAGCAGAGTTGTTACTTTTGTATTGGCAGGTCTATTAATAACTCTGTTACACAGGAAGCAATCATAGAGAGGTTAAGGCTACTGTCTAAGGTCACGTGGTTGGTGGAGGCAGATGGAGTATTGAATGTGGGTAGGCAATGCTGTTATAGAGAATCACACAGGGAGAAGCAGCTTGTGGAAAGGAATGAAGTGAATGGAAGAGGAAGAGCAAAGTCAGGTGAGACTTTTGTCTGGGGAAAAGGCATCTTTGACTGCCTCTATCCCAGGATTGCAAAACAGCAATGTGTGTGGGGCTATGTGAAAGGACACTTTGCCTTCTTCTTGAACCCTCAAGCTGTCACCCTGAACAAGACTTCATTCTATCTCTGTTTCCCCTTTCCAGAACCTGCCATCAGAAATCCCATTCTCTCCTTGATCTTAGCTGAGTGCCAAGGGAAAAAAAAAACGCGATTAGCTGATTGAAGTGATTTCCACTAAGATGCTGTCACTTAGCTTTCCTGAGAGCAGACTCATTAAAATGAGTCTGTATGCCAGGCGGTGGTGGCACACACCTTTAACCCCAGCACTTGGGAGACAGAGACAGGTGGATCTCTGAGTCTGAGGTCAGCATGATCTACTAATTGAGTTCCAAGACACCCAGAACTACACAGAGAAACACTGTCTTAAAAAACAACAAAAAACCATCCAAACAAAATGAGTCTGTAATTGGTGAGATACACTCTCTCTCTCTCTCTCTCTCTCTCTCTCTCTCTATATATATATATATATATATATATATATATATATATATACACACACACACACACACATTCACATATATATGAATGTTTATACTAAGGTCTCCCATATAATGTAAAATACCAGTAAAGGACAAAAATCAGAAGCTAAAAACATGATAGGTAATCAGCGCACATCATTTCAGACCAACTCAGTCAGGGGACTGTGATACCCAGTTTGTAGATAATTGGGGACCTAGAGGGGTTCTTTGCTTAAGAACATACAGCTAGGGCCTGGAGAGATAGCTCAGCGGTTAGTTAAGAGCTGGCTACTCTTCCAGAGGTTTTGAGTTAGTTCCCAGCAACGACCTGGTGGCTCACAACCATCTATAATGAGATCTGATGCTCTCTTCTGTCATGCAGGCAGAGTACTCATATACATACATAAATACATCTTAACAACAACAACAACAAACAACAACAAAAGAACATACAACTATCAAAAAGCGCTAGACTTTCAGCCACTTTCTACCAACTGTGATGACTGCTGTTCTCGGATACTCCCATCCTGGCCCAGCACTGCCAAGAAGCACACAGTTCAACTCCACCAGCACTGGAGGAAGGAGGTCTGGCACTTGGCCACCCATTCACCGAGAAACTTACTATTTTATTGACTGCTTGCATGCTTGATACGTGGCATGGGTGGGTCTGTTGAAATGAATTAACCCTGGTTTTGTTCCCAGCGTCTCTGACCAGTGTCAGTGTGAGTAGGGAGGGTAGTGTGTGAGGAGATGTGGAGGATCTGAGGACCTGTACCAGAGACCCTCAGAAAAGAACTATCATGCCGTGTGATGAATGCTGACAGAGAGATAAATACAAAGCATTGAGACTCAGAGAAGGCAAAGTAACTTGGAAATTAAAGCAGAATTTTA